ATTGGGTCGCTAAATGAGATGCACAACAGGCCAGAGAAGGTGGCTGGTTGTGTCATATAATTGTTGGTACGTACAAGAACAACATGGCAATCACATACATGATTCAATAAACATAAAACACAGTCGTAAGTCATTTATGCGATTATTTAATGGTTGTTTGATGGTTTAATTTCAGTTTCTGATTTGTGAACATTCAAACATCATCACTCCGGAACGACCTAACGTGACACCAAGGTTTTGTCGATGGAACATTGCAGCAGCTGTGGGGAAACTAAAAGTAATTAATTTGTCAGTAAAAGGTTGCATTGAGGTATGGAATTAGAACCATTTTATTTTTTTAAAAAAAATTTCAACGCAAACATTGAAGTTCTTGTGTGTTTTATTTGTAATCTTTCTTAGGTGCAGTGTGGGAAACTTGTTGGGACAATTACTAAGTGTCATATTCTCAAACTGGCTGCTGCTGCAAATGAACTGAAAGAAGGTGGTAGAATTAGGATGGATGTGGACCCAGCTGAAGTGTGCGATGGACGTAGGGCTGTTGTTGACACAGATGATGTTGGCAGCATGGAACTAAGCTTCAATTGTTGGTAGTCGGACACAACAAATGGTGGTAACATGAAAATGGAGGGGGGGAATGATTATGATAATAAGAATACTGGAACACCGACCAGCAAGGAAAAAGTGGGTGGGAAGCTAGCATCACGGGGAGAAGTGTGGCCGGTATTGTTCCCGGATCTTCTAGAACTGTCCAGCACTCCAAATGGTGAAGCCGTGGGTGAGGAACAAGTGGGGGTAAACGATGAGTTGATAACTTGTAAAGTCAGAATTACTGAGTTAGAGAGTGAAATCAATAGAAAAGACGCACGGGTATGTGAACTAGAACAGCGTGTTGAAACGTTGGAGAAACTGTTTGAGAGGCATGCTGGGAATTTGTTTCCAGTCTTACATAGTTTGATTGTCGATATGGATTCTGAAATTGCTCGACTCAATAAGCAGGTTGATCGATTGGAGTAAAAAATAAGAAATTTGGAGGATAGTCTTGATGATCTTGAGGTGCACGAGGTCACGCAATTTGTTGTGAATGATGGATCTAATCAGCGAACACCGAGTAACAGTCGGTCAAGGAAAGTGAGTGGGTCTGGCAATGTGACGAGTGGCGAAAGTGCGTAGCAGCCTGCGTATCCTGCAGGCCAACCCGAAGATGTTGGCATCACCAAATTAGAAATTGTTGAGAACGAAACTGGGATTGAAGATTTGACAGTTGACTTTGCCCATGGGAATGTACGTTCGACTGTGCAAGGGGTGGAGGGTAGCTGCAGTCCTCGAAATGCACAGTCAGTGTCAGGTGTGAATGTAAAAGATGACGCAACTGTCGTTGGCGTGGAAGCTGGTTGTGAACACACAACAGCTACAACAAGTTCTGCGCCGAAAATTACATCACTTGTCAAGCGGGTGAAGAATAAGCCAAGATGGGAATTTAGGTTATCTGACTACGAATATCCTGGCATATTTGGGTGTCCACATGTAAATGCCAACGTGAGACTAGGTAAATCAATTGAGCCCGGGGTGATTTACAGTGTCAAGGACGTCGAGGTGGAGCGTAAAACCTGGAATGGTTTTGGTATGAATAGAAGGCACACTGCGTGGAACATGCTGAAGGATGAAGATAGGCAACTACTACAGAGAATGTACAGTTTAGAGGGGGACGGGTAGGTTGTCCGTATGGAATGCTGTATTCTTTGATATGTAGAAGTTGTAAACTGTGTTTTATGGTGGTTCTTAATGTTGGATTATCATGTGTAGGTTAATAGTATGGGATGGTGGACACAATGGAATACAAGTGCATTTCATGGACATCAAGGATTTGGTGCAGCAGAACTCCATCCATGGGAATGTAAGCTGGTTTCGTGAAATTAACCGTTGAGTTTTTTGTATTTTATTTTCTTTTTTAAAAAAGCCATATGCAGATCTGAACATTGTTTCCTTTGTGAAGTGGGTGACGTGGCTGTGACGAAATGGCAAATGAATTTAACAACACACAGTTACGAATATGTAAATGGAGTCACAAAATGCTAGTAGCACATAGTGGACATAAATTTACAAATTCTTATTACTAGTGTGCTGGAATTGTAATGGGTAACATATGTTGTAGGTAATCGATGCATACGCTGTAATGTTGACTGAAATGCATAAGATGGTGTCTGGAAGACCAGAATATGTTGGGACATCATACATTTACACTAGTGTTTGTTCGGTATGTATCTTGACTATCGTTTGATTGCACGAAATAGATGGCGCAGCTGTCGTTGTTGTAGAAGGTCATTGTGAACACACAGAAGGTGCAACAAGTTCTGGGCCGAAAATTACGTCACTTGTGAGAAGGGTGAAGAACAAGGCAAGACGGGAATTTAGGTTATCAGACTACGAATATCCTGGCATATTTGGGCGTCCACAGGTAAACACCAATGTCAGACTTGAAAATCAGTTGAACCAGGGGTGATTTACAGTGTTGAGGACGTCGAGGTGGAGCGTAAAACCTGGAATGGTTTTGGTATGAATAGAAGGCACACTGTGTGGAACATGCTGAAGGATGAAGATAGGCAACTACTACAGAGAATGTACAGTTTAGAGGGGGACGGGTAGGTTGTCCGTATAGAATGCTGTATTCATTGATATGTAGAAGTTGTAAACTGTGTTTTATGGTGGTTCTTAATGTTGGATTATCATGTGTAGGTTAATAGTATGGGATGGTGGACACAATGGAATACAAGTGCATTTCATGGACATCAAGGATTTGGTGCAGCAGAACTCCATCCATGGGAATATAAGCTGGTTTCGTGAAATTAACCGTTGCATATTTTTTTTTTTTTTAAAAAAAAAAGCCATATGCAGATTTGAACATTGTTTCCTTTGTGAAGTGGGTGACGTGGCTATGATGAAATGGCAAATGAATTTAACAACACACAGTTACGAATATGTAAATGGAGTCACAAAATGCTAGTAGCACATAGTGGACATAAATTTACAAATTCTTATTACTAGTGTGCTGGAATTGTAATGGGTAACATATGTTGTAGGTAATCGATGCATACGCTGTAATGTTGACTGAAATGCATAAGATGGTGTCTGGAAGACCAGAATATGTTGGGACATCATACATTTACACTAGTGTTTGTTTGGTATGTATCTTGACTATCGTTTGATTGCACGAAATCTGAAAATAATATTTGCTGTAATGAAATCTGATACGACTAGGGTGGTTTTGGACAATTGTGCAGGATATGATGCGAAACAGTAGCGCTGTATCACGAATGAAGTATTTGAACGTTCACATGAAGGCTGCACCAGGTTGCAGGTACACACTTTTCCCAATCTACAATGCCAACCATTGGACAGCCATGCACACGATTCAGAAAGCGGGAATTGGAAACATTACAACTCGATGAGGCCAAAACGTGGAGTGCGTGATGAGCATTACAATGAGGCTCTAAAAGTTGTAAGTACTGTTTATCAATTTTAGTTTTGAATGTGCATAATTGACAGATTGTAATTTTCAAAATTTTAATGTTACCTTGTACACAACTATGCTCACATGTGAAAAATGAACAGAAACAATGGGTAGCCGACCACCACAACAAATTTGTGAAGCCAAGAGTTACAACTGAGGGTGTTGGGGCAGACTTGTTTGATGGCACTTTTGTATCTGTTGTGGATTGTCCACAACAAGTTGCAGAGTCGTAAGTAATGTTTATTTTAGTTTGAGTGTATTGTTTTGATGATGTATCGCATAAGTGACGTTGGTAACGGTATTTGTGAGTGCAGGTCGGATTGTGGGATTTTCGTGTGCTTTATAATCAGGCAGTACATCCGTGGTGCAGAAGTCAATACTATGATGGACGGTTTGACCCCAACTGGCCTACGAGCTGCGATGGTGGACATGTTCTTAAGTGACCTGGGCAGAGGACTTCGTAGGAGGACATTATAAGAGATGTTCACGTTAGTCATTGCAGTTGGTGCGACAACAAGATTACGATGTTTTTATTTTTGATGTTTTATGGACGTGCATAAATGTTTTGTTAATCTGTGAACACAGAACATTAGAAGGGAAAAACTAGTTTCATATACGTTATTTTTTGGTCATGCAGACTGGTGCACCAACAGTTTAATCGTTGGTTAGGATCCGTTATTTTTTGGACATGAATGTTGATATTATTTAGTAAGTAATTCAAATAGTTTCTTCTATTCCATAATATCAGGTTAACAGTGTGTTACATTTTAATGTGCATGTCCATTAGATTGTTTTTAAATGCTAGATGGACCTGGGTATGTAAATATGGTATGATCTATACAGAAGTTGACATGCCGACTGTGAGTTTGGGAAACCTATTTTGCCACTATGGGATTAAGCGTGGCTTGATGTGTACGAAAGTTGACATGCAAAGACAATGAGCACGTCGACCACATGTTTAATATGACATGAGAAAAGGTTAATTTCCCATTGCCATTTTAATTAGAATTGTAAAGACACCATTTGACCGTAACATAATATTACGTTCGCATTCGATTTATTTAAAACAGTTGGTACTGGGTACATGTTTTGTACAATGACACTGAATTGTAAGCAGACACCTAGCCATAAAAAATCCATTGGGATTTCGGTTATTAATTGGCAGAGTCAGTTTTGGGTGAATGTTTGGTATGATGTGCACAGATTTGAAAAACAAAACGGCACACATTGGCTCTTTGCATGTCTTTACAGTGTTAATCAAATACAGATTTGAAAACAAAATGGTTGGGTGTTAAAGGTGCAGTGTGATTGTTCAACAGTGGGAACCGAAATGGTAGCTAGGTTAGATAAAAGTGTATATCCTACCAAATAGATTAAACGAATAACAGAAAGTTAATGACTGATTGAAAAAAATGTGGAAAATATTTCGAAAAACAAAATAAAACAGAACCCCAGTTTGTTAACAGAAAAATTAAATCATATGGCAGACCATCTATAATGGCTCTTTGCATGTCTTCCTGTTGTGATTGCCCAACTTTTTGCAACGACCACAACGTATACGTTGCACTACCTCGCCCTTGGACGAAATTCTCTTCCGTTTGGGCCGACCGGGAGGACGCTTGCTTGTCGGTGGTGCTATCAAATATTCAGCTGGGTTAAACATCGACCTCTCCACTGTTGGGATGGGGTATATAGTTTCGCTATAAATAGCTTGAAATGTATCAATGGAGAATGTAGAGTCTATTGAATCGTAGATGTTTCTCCTATTATTACGGAATGCAACGACAGCATGGGAACACGGGAACTCGTTTATCTGCCACTGAAAACAAGAACATGTCCGCTTGATGACATCAACCAACATCGATGGGTGGGAGTGAACCTCGTACACATCATCATTAGCCTGGCTCACACACCAGGCCCTATTGTCATTATACGCTACCACCAATGTTTTATCCATTTTCAGGCATATTACGCTGGCTCATTTAGTATATTTAACTTGGCGGTCCGATATCTGCCCCATTATTTGACCCCTTATCATATCGACCAATCTAGTGATAGGAAGATGACGGCCTCGTTGACCCAATTATTGAAAGATTCAGCAGCGTTTGAGCACATCTTCCCATATCGTCGGCCCCTAAAAAAAAACAAAATCAACGTTTATGGAGCATAAATTATAATGACAAAAATAAAACGTACTACAAAAAAACATGTGGGAATTTAAAATACGCCATAACCCATTAAGCGGATCATGAAAGTGCCTGAAATATGCATTAGACCAGTGTTTTGGGTGCAAGTCTTTCATAAAATCTTCAATCACGGTTGGGTTGGCCTTCTTCAATACCTCAAATTTCTCATTAAAACAAGTAACAATGGGCGCATAGGCACATTCCCACAACTTCCGCATTAACCCAATTTTGTGCGATGCATTAACATACTTCATTCGATCACGCAAGTTCATTTGGAGATGCAACAAACAATATGCATGATGCGCTGAAGGGAAAATAATTGGCATAGAGTGTAATAATCCGACATGGCGGTCAGATATGAAAGTTAATGTCCGCCCGCCCCCAACAACTTCTTTCAAATTACGAAGAAACCATTCCCAATTGGCTGAATTCTCAGAATCAACAATAGCAAAGGCTACCGGAAACAATCCTACGACCAAACATGCAACATGAAAAGTTTGACATGAGTAAAGTTATACAACCATCCACACAAAATAAAGTGCGACACATTTTGGAAAATAAAAATGAATAAGCCTACCATTGTGTCTTACATTACTGTTCAGTTTAATTTGAGGAGACCCTATTTCAATGTTGTTATATTTTTTTCTTCATTAAAAAAAAAACATATGTAACGTATGAAAAATGGAAGTAGCTGTTTACTAGTACGTGCAGAAAATATGGAATAATGGAATAAGATAACACACCATTACCTTGATTGACGTCTTTAGCAGTAGCTGCAAGCAAATTACCTTTAAATCTACCTTTCGAAAACGTTCCATCCAAAAATAGCAGAGGACGGCAATGATTGAACCCATCTATACAAGCACAGAATGATTTGAAATACCTAACGAAGCTCCCAATTTTTTGGTCAAACTCAAGGCTAATGTAACTGTTTGAGTTTTTTTTGCATAACGGAATCGCTATACCATCTGAGCTGGTCGAAGGACGTAGCATGATCCCCGTACACTTCGCCCCTCACTTTCTTAACACCCAACCATGCCACCCGGTAACTAATGTCCAAACCATACTCGTTTTTCAAATCAAACACAACATCAGTAGGGCGTGTCAATGGCTTATCACGCACCTGATCTGTAATAACGGTAGACACCAAATCAGACCCCATACGAGGGTTCCTACAAGTACGTACAGCAGCCCCACAAGTATGCACACTATCGAACCTCTTAACACATAACACCCCATTTGACGGTAACATCCTCGCATGAACTGACCACGAACAATCTATTGACGCCGCAAACTTACACACTACTGTAATTCGAACGGAGTCATTTTTAATGTACTTGAATTGAAATCCACATTCAACAACATACTTACACAGAACTTCACGAAATTCAGTTGCTTTACCATCGAAACATTGTCCCACATGGGTAATACCATACGCCCATTGCGCCGACAAAAATGTCTTCGATTTGTTCGGACAGTATGTTGGTAACAAGTCCATCTGGTCATCCACGCACCCATTCTGACTAACATCTCGTGAAATTCCCCTATCTTCTATGGAATCCAACACACCCCAATTACCCCCTACACCAACACTACTTTCCTGAATGAGGACCTCAATTTGATTTATCCCAAACGACTTAGCAAGGCATAACATGTTTTGAATATCGTCGTCACTATCCACCTTAAACTTCTTATACCCAGGAAAATCAAAAACAAACACACCGCACCAGGTACCAATCCATCGAACTTCCCACAAATATCATCAATAATCTTCACGAATGACGAATCCTGATACAACCGAATAAGAACATTTACTAAACCATACGAACACACCAACAAAATCCCCCCGTCCATACCTGTACACATTTGGAGAACCCATTACTGTTGCAACATACCCAGGAAATGACATAACATAACAGTTTCTGTTTACATGCAATTGATATAACTACGCGAAGCCATCCCACTGATAGATCACAAAAAAATAAAAATATTTGGATAAAAACCACACACCTGTTTTCGATGCCTTAACCACAGCAATGCCAACGCAGGAATACAACACCTTAAACTGTCCAATTACAGTGCGAAAAATAGCAGTGGTCACTGGGAAAAGATGACGCCCACCACCGGAAAAAATGGTGCTCACCGTATTCTGTCTCTAGAAAAACAATGGTGAAAACAATGCTAATGAAGAAAAACAATGGTAATCAATAAGAAATGGTGGAAAAACAATGTTAATCAATACAAAAACAAAGTTAATCAAAATACAGAACAATGAAATAATGTTAATCAATAAGAATGGTGGGCACTGTTTTCGGTTAGATCACAGAATTGGTGAAAACAATGTCAATCAATAAAAAAACATCCCCACAAAAACGTTGACATTACGAAACCTATGGAAATCATAATCAAATGTTTAAGGAAAGTACATTAAAAAGGGTATTGATGTAAAAACAAATAGAATCAAATCACACCCCCAAAAATCTGGCAATAAATTAGGACTAAATGGTATACAAAAAAACTTAAAGGACTAAATGGTTTAACTTTTTTCAGGATAGGATTTATGGGTAATTTTTCCTAAATATTTATGATTTAAATTTTTTGAATATTTATTTTGAAAAAAAATTATTTCCTTTGGAATATTTTCAATTAAAAAATTGAGTAATGTTATTTTCTGTTAATAATAAATTTTTTTAATTAAATTTTGAAAAGAGTTTGGTTAGGAGTGTTGATCAAAATTTTCAGTAGTGTGAAAGTAGTGTGTTTTGTTATGAGTTATAACAATTTGAATTAAGTTTTGAAAACTCTTTCCAAAACTAATAACCAAACAAATGTTCTTACTTCACATATCAAATCAAACTTTTAAAACTCAATTCCACACTCAATTCAACACTCTATTCAAAAATCATAACCAAACAAATTTTCCACACTCAAATTATAATTTCAAAACACACAAACTTAAAATACAACTCATATTCTCAAATCATAGTTAGACAGTCTTACCAAACGGAGCCTATAATTCTACCTCTTATGGTTCAAAATATGTTATATGGGTGAAGTTGTAAATATTTTCAATTGAATGGGGATAGTTTGGTCATTTTATTGTGATTTGACATCATAAATAAATATTAATAAAAAAAGTCAAAAACAACTTTTTACCAACTTTTCAAATCATTTGTTTAAAAAGCCAAAAGCTTGGTTAAAAGCTAAAAAGTCACTTTTTATCATCTTCCCAAAATATCATTTAAGTCTATGTTTGGGAAGTTGGATTTGAGAATTTTTTGACTAAAAGAGTAACAAAAAATAAAATAGATTTTTTAACCTAATAAGATAAAATATCACATCTAACTCATGATCATTATATTTTTTTCTCTTACAAAAAAGTCAAAAAAATTAGAAGTCTTTCCCAAATTAGGTTTTTTAGTCTCAGACCAAAAAAGTCAAAAAGCCAAAAAGTCAACTCACTTCCCAAACGAAGCCTAATTGGTGTGTCGACTTCGTGGTGTTTTGGAAAGCCTAATTGGTGTCGATTTCGTGGTGTTTTGGAAAGTTAGTAAAAAATTGACTTTTTGGTTTTTTTAACTTATTTTGTCTTTTTGTGGGTAAAAAATATGAGAGGCGATGTGATCTAAAATAAATAAAAAGCTAAAAGCTAACTTTTTATTTTATTCCCAAAACACCCCTTCATGTGATGTGATGTGATGTGATGTTTTTTGGCTTCAGTTTTTTTATTTCTTTTTATTTTTATTTTTCACATCATTAGTGTTCTTTTAGAACTCTCAAATTAGAGGGATGTATCATTTCAGAAAATATAAATTCATAAAAAGAAGAACAATATATAAGTGAGAGAAGAGAAAAAAAGTTATCAATAACTAGAAGGTGTGAGTGTGTCTGTTGTAAGGTGTAAATGAAAACCTGTAGGGGTGATACTTACTTACACGCCTATAATTTTTCATTTACATCCCACCATAGATACAATTGTATCCATGTGCTTGTAATTTTTTTTCCTCTTCTTCCACCTGCGTAAAATTCCTCCATTCATAATTTTTTTTATTTTAATTATTAATAATTAAAAATTTTATTATTAATTTATAATTACTTTTTTAACACACCACTGACGTGATACATTCCCAAATAATCGACGAATTTTCCAAAAACTAAAGTGAATGTTTATTTTACTAAAAATATTAGCATAAAAACATGAGGTACAATACAACTCTTGTTTGTAAAAAACCAAACCACATTAAAAGTTGTGTTCCAAAAAATTCTCATTTTAAGTAAATATTTCTTTGACCTTTACGCTATTTGTTAATTGAAAATTTTATAAAGCCTCTTTTAAGAATAAATTATTTAAATAATTTTTTGAATTTTTTGTTAAAATATGAGGTAAAAAACTAATATATTTGAGATAATTTTTTTTTGCTTTTTTACCAAAAAAAATATACAAAAAATAGAGAGAAAGAAATTTTTTTAATTTTTTTAATAACTTGTTAACTTCTATATTATTTTCCCAAACAAGCCGGGTAGAAGATTAAAAATAATTAAAAATACATGTGGGTGTACCTTTTTTTGTGTAAAAAAACACAACAGAAGTTGTGCCATTGACCTTTTGGTAAATAATTTTCTCACTTTTTACTATCTTGTAATTTCTCCAAAACAAAAATACAATATAAACAATCTAGTTTCATTTTCAAATTTTATTTTATCGATGCAATAATGTTATTTATTCAAATTTTTATCCAAAATTTTAAACAAAAATATGAATGTATAACCCATATTCATTTCAGGGGAAATTGCATATTAGCTTGTTTGACCAAAAATATTTACAAAATTATAGGAGTGTAACTCTTTTCGGTGCTACACATTTTTATAAACTAGTAGGTGGCACGCACGATGTGTGTGCAATTTAAATAAGTAGGAATAAAAAAATATAATAATGAAATTAATATTATAATGTGTACTTAGCTTAAGTGGTATGAGTCTTCGTACTTAAACCCATGGTCATAGGTTCAAGCCCTACCCATCATCTCTTTGTTTAACTATTTTTTAAAAAATAAAAAATACTGTCACATGGCATGAGGTGAGTAAAGTTTCAGGACACCATAAGAGGTGTTCACTTTATAATAGATAGATAGATATTTTCCTTGCAACCCACTTATAGGAAATTATACCAAAGGGATGTACCATATGCACTCTTAATTATCTTATTTTTTTTAATTATGACTAATTTTTTTTTTAGTGATGATATTATTTTAGTTATAACTCATGAAATATTTGATTATGACTCATATGATATGTGGTTATGACTTTTTTTTCTTTTATTCTTTTTTTTTTTAAATTTTATAGAGTTATAACTCAAAAAATATGAAATTATATTATTTTTTTAGCTATAAAATATATATGGTGCACACTTTTTAACGGATATATATAATTGTCTTTCCTCCCACTTAATAGTAGTTTCCACTTTTATTTTAAGCATGAACTCGTATTATACCAATTCGATTTTAAGTCTGATTTTGGTGAAGTTAACAAAGTTAGTACTTTTTTTTTTAATTAGGATTAGTTTGAAAATAGATTATTTTAATGATTTTTTTAATTTTTTAGCTAAAATATGAGGTGAAGAAAAATTCAGACAGTCACATTGACATTGTGTCAATGTAAATTAATTACAAATTAATAAAAAAAATTAAAATTAAAATTATTATTTTTTATAATATATTTCACGTTTTTGTAATTACTTTTTTCTGACCCTACTATCAGGTTATTTCTTCCAAAAAAAATTAGTATGTTTTGGATTTTTTTGACTTTTTATGAAAAAAACATACAAAAATTAAAGAGAAAAGTGGGTTGTTTGGTTTGTTTTTCAAAAACAAATTTTGAAGAAAATTTTTCAAAATTTTGTTTGGTTTAGTGATTTTAGAAAAAAAATTCTAAAATTATTTTTTCTCCCACACATATTGTGACAGGATACTTCTCTTACTCTTCCCTAAACCAAAGCATACATGATTAGTCAAAACTGTAAGCTTATATAGACTAACAACACTAACTAATATAAGCATGGATCAAGTTCATAATCCTATGTTGAACAAACTTTTAACTTCAAGAAGTGCTTGTGGTAACTTATTTTCAAATCTCTAATTTAGCATCTCAGGCCATGTCAGGTTCTATAACAAACCTAATATTCAGTCATAATCCTATGTTCTCTATATACAGTGTGCCTACAAGTTTGTGTGTGTAGGCTAGACCTTAGTACACGGAGATAAAATAAAGGACAATTAAATTAACAGTGATGGTGTACTCTATATGTGACTAATTGGTTTTAAATCAAAATTAAAATATAGGATATATACATGGGGTTGATGATTGATCTATGCCATAGGTTTGATCCAAATAAAAAATGAAAATAGTGTGATAAGAGTGTAAGCTATCTTCTTTGATGATATCAATGCACATGAAAACATTTTGAACTTCCATGAAGTACATAACTTTCTCCCAATTTTTGAGGTCTTTTATGATGGTTGTTTGTCTCTTCTTCAGTGATCTTGGAAATGCAGCATTATCTGGCCAATTTTTGGTCCCTCAGCTTGGCCAGCTCAAGAATTTACAGTACCTGTAAGTCTATTTTTATGTGTTTGCCTAACTGCTGCCTTGGATTTTTTTAGTTTGTCTTGATATTATTACTTTCTATTACTAAACCATCCCTCCCTTCCTCACTCTATGTAGTCTGTCAGACCATGGTAAAAAAGCCTTTGTAATTATTATTGATCTAACATTATTGATCATCTGTAGTGTTCATCTGTTAACATTATTGATCTAACAACTATAAGCAGTGATCTGCATTTCTAGAAAAATATTCATGTTAAACATTAGGTTGGGCATTACATTTTATCTCTCATCTGTTTTTCATTTTGTGAAATCTTTGTGTGCAATTAATTGATTCTGTTAATTTGTTAAATATTGATGTTGGCCACTGCCATATGCGTCCTTGTTACAATATCTATAAGGGAACACATTGTTTCCATACACTATAACAGATCACCAATATATATTTCACTAATGTTTCTAAATACTTTTTAGTGTTCTACAGAAATGTAAAAACTGATTTTTATGATTCTGTTTTCCTCATAATATTTCTGAAATATGCACTAATGCAGGGGATCACTACCTAAAACCATTTGTAATACCGAAACTAGAAGTCAGAGTGAGCAGAAGAACTAGTGCAGATGAACCTCTATTTTTCTAGAAATAGAGATTTGGATGTTAGCATGGTTCTATATTGAGAAATGCTATATCTCAACTGATAGTTATATGAGAATAAATTATACATATTTAAACCATGGGTTCTTATTTAGATATCAACACTACACAGCTCTCCAAATAATCATAGTGCACCTGATAGCTTATAATCATTGAATTATTTATTTGAAGGTGAAAATTGCTTGCCCGGTTCTCAAATAGGTACAAGTCATCCAAAGAACAAGGGAGGAACAGAGCCATTATTTCATCTTACTGGCGCACATTTTTATCGAGCCTAAGTACTACTTATCATTGGTTGATGCTGGAGCCTTAGAAGGTATACAACGCCATGACTTTTTGAAAAGAAAAGAAAAAAATGCTATAGTTTTGTATTTAGCACCATGATCTTCACTACAAAAATGCTATAGTTTTTGAATTTATTTTTTGTCATGTTTAGTTTGCAAGTGTTTTGTGTTGTAATGAAAAACTATTGACAATTCATTGTGCCTATTTAATTTTTCCAGAATCATGAATATAACTATGAGTCTGTGACTATATGTAAATCATAACAAGAAGGAATGACAAAGATTAAAAAGAGATGCAGACGCATAGGGTTAAGGCTTAACTTGTTGGGTTATGTTGTTCTAGAAGAACCTGTTGTACCCAAGATGAAGGTGCTTCAAAATAAAGGCATAAAAAAGCATAATAGTGATTCCTCTATTCTTTTTCAGCAGAGAAGTTTGTTTGTGAACTTCTAATGGGTTACACAATATCTTTGAAATTTTTGTACTCTTTACTGCTTATAGTGATATTGCAATTCTGTCTTTTGGAAGTGAGGGTCAAATAACAGGTGTCCTAGTGTAGATATTTTCAGTTCTAAATGCAATCTGTGGCTTTTACTGGTGCTCACCTGTTTGTTATTGCTGCAATCTGGTTTGTGGGATTTGGCCTTTCTCTGCTCCTCCTCTGTCTCTGTTGTTGCTGCTGCCAACGTCGATACCATGGCTATTCTCGAACAGCTTATGCGCTTTCTTTCATTTTTCTGATGTTCACCATTGCTGCAATGTATATCTTTCTCTCTCTCTCTCTCTCTCTCTGTGTGTGTGTCACACACACACACACACAATACCTACGAGTTTAAATTGAATATTTGGATTTGGATCGATTTATCTGAGAGTCCATTGTTGTTCTATGTTTTTGATTTCAGCATTGGATGCGTTGTTTTGTATACTGGACAAGGGAAGTTCCATACTAGCACATTGAATACATTGGACCATGTCATGTGGCAAGCTAACACCATTGTGTCCAATGGTTCTCACGGGAGAGCCGCCTCCATTGTGTCCTGAAAGTTCATTCCCTTCAACTAGTAGGAGCAGCGTTGTTATGCGTTACATGGAAAAGAAGACACGCAAGTAAGAGTAGAGCGGTTTTTTTTTTTTTTTACACCATTTAGGTTAAAAAAAGAAAAGAATATTGTGTGGACCTAGGAAGCATGGATGTGTATTTAATTCACTTTCAATTCTTTTTGATTGTTTAGTTCTTTGGTTTAATGGAAAGTATATTTTGAGGTTTGTGATAGTTCCGAGGAAAGAAAAACAAGAAAGTGTAGAAGTGTTAATGCGTGAATGTTGAGATTTTATTAAGGGAATAAATGGAAAATAATGTATGAATGTTGAGATTTTTACAAATGTCTTTACGTTTATTGTATATAATATTTGAATATATATCTATATTTATACGATTGTAGGTTTTTTTTTTGGCGACGGTAAGAAGATGGTCGCTAATACATTGTAGGCATTTTTTGAACTCTTTTGCGACAGCAAAATATCAGTCGCTATAAGTAGGTTAGGCGGTCGCAAAAAGTATTTGCCACCCCTACATACGTGGCCCTTATTTGCCGTCGCGTGGACCGTTGCAAAAAGTCTTTGTGATTGTTTTTTTTATTATTTGCGACGGCTTATAGCGGTCGCAAAAAATCACTTTTTTTAGTAGTATATTTCTCATTTCCCTTGAAAATTCTTTCTTCATTTACCAAAGTAATCTTCTCAAATTTTCTCAAAAAGTGGACATAGTCGCCCCACATTTACTAGAAGTTTAAAATTTTCATGTGAGGTCCAAAATCTTTACCAACATTTTCCACGAATGATCACAAATATTTATTTTAATTAGTCTATTTTTGAATATCGTCGTCACTATCCACCTTAAACTTCTTATACCCAGGAAAATCAAAAACAAACACACCGCACCAGGTACCAATCCATCGAACTTCCCACAAATATCATCAATAATCTTCACGAATGACGAATCCTGATACAACCGAATAAGAACATTTACTAAACCATACGAACACACCAACAAAATCCCCCCGTCCATACCTGTACACATTTGGAGAACCCATTACTGTTGCAACATACCCAGGAAATGACATAACATAACAGTTTCTGTTTACATGCAATTGATATAACTACGCGAAGCCATCCCACTGATAGATCACAAAAAAATAAAAATATTTGGATAAAAACCACACACCTGTTTTCGATGCCTTAACCACAGCAATGCCAACGCAGGAATACAACACCTTCAACTGTCCAATTACAGTGCGAAAAATAGCAGTGGTCACTGGGAAAAGATGACGCCCACCACCGGAAAAAATGGTGCTCACCGTATTCTGTCTCTAGAAAAACAATGGTGAAAACAATGTTAATGAAGAAAAACAATGGTAATCAATAAGAAATGGTGGAAAAACAATGTTAATCAATACAAAAACAAAGTTAATCAAAATACAGAACAATGAAATAATGTTAATCAATAAGAATGGTGGGCACTGTTTTCGGTTAGATCACAGAATTGGTGAAAACAATGTCAATCAATAAAAAAACATCCCCACAAAAACGTTGACATTACGAAACCTATGGAAATCATAATCAAATGTTTAAGGAAAGTACATTAAAAAGGGTATTGATGTAAAAACAAATAGAATCAAATCACACCCCCAAAAATCTGGCAATAAATTAGGACTAAATGGTATACAAAAAAACTTAAAGGACTAAATGGTTTAACTTTTTTCAGGATAGGATTTATGGGTAATTTTTCCTAAATATTTATGATTTAAATTTTTTGAATATTTATTTTGAAAAAAAATTATTTCCTTTGGAATATTTTCAATTAAAAAATTGAGTAATGTTATTTTCTGTTAATAATAAATTTTTTTAATTAAATTTTGAAAAGAGTTTGGTTAGGAGTGTTGATCAAAATTTTCAGTAGTGTGAAAGTAGTGTGTTTTGTTATGAGTTATAACAATTTGAATTAAGTTTTGAAAACTCTTTCCAAAACTCTTAACCAAACAAATTTTCTTACTTCACATGTCAAATCAAACTTTCAAAACTCAATTCAACACTCTATTCAAAAATCATAACCAAACAAATTTTCCACACTCAAATTATAATTTCAAAACACACAAACTTAAAATACAACTCATATTCTCAAATCATAGTTAGACAGTCTTACCAAACGGAGCCTATAATTCTACCTCTTATGGTTCAAAATATGTTATATGGGTGAAGTTGTAAATATTTTCAATTGAATGGGGATAGTTTGGTCATTTTATTGTGATTTGACATCATAAATAAATATTAATAAAAAAAGTCAAAAACAACTTTTTACCAACTTTTCAAATCATTTGTTTAAAAAGCTAAAAGCTTGGTTAAAAGCTAAAAAGTCACTTTTTATCATCTTCCCAAAATATCATTTAAGTCTATGTTTGGGAAGTTGGATTTGAGAATTTTTTGACTAAAAGAGTAACAAAAAATAAAATAGATTTTTTAACTTAATAAGATAAAATATCACATCTAACTCATGATCATTATATTTTTTTTCTCTCACAAAAAAGTAAAAAAAATCAAAAGTCTTTCCCAAATTAGGTTTTTTAGTCTCAGACCAAAAAAGTTAAAAAGCCAAAAAGTCAACTCACTTTCCAAACGAAGCCTAATTGGTGTGTCGACTTCGTGGTGTTTTGGAAAGCCTAATTGGTGTCGATTTCGTGGTGTTTTGGAAAGTTAGTAAAAAATTGACTTTTTGGTTTTTTTAACTTATTTTGTCTTTTTGTGGGTAAAAAATATGAGAGGCGATGTGATCTAAAATAAATAAAAAGCTAAAAGCTAACTTTTTATTTTATTCCCAAAACACCCCTTCATGTGATGTGATGTGATGTGATGTTTTTTGGCTTCAGTTTTTTTATTTCTTTTTATTTTTATTTTTCACATCATTAGTGTTCTTTTAAAACTTCCAAATTAATTTCAGAAAATATAAATTCATAAAAAGAAGAACAATAAATAAATGAGAGGAGAGAAAAAAAGTTATCAATAACTAGAAGGTGTGAGTGTGTCTGTTGTAAGGTGTAAATGAAAACCTGTAGGGGTGATACTTACTTACACGCCTATAATTTTTCATTTACATCCCACCATAGATACAATTGTATCCATGTGCTTGTAATTTTTTTTTCCTCTTCTTCCACCTGCGTAAAATTCCTCCATTCATAATTTTTTTTATTTTAATTATTAATAATTAAAAATTTTATTATTAATTTATAATTACTTTTTTAACACACCACTGACGTGATACATTCCCAAATAATCGACGAATTTTCCAAAAACTAAAGTGAATGTTTATTTTACTAAAAATATTAGCATAAAAACATGAGGTACAATACAACTCTTGTTTGTAAAAAACCAAACCACATTAAAAGTTGTGTTCCAAAAAATTCTCATTTTAAGTAAATATTTCTTTGACCTTTACGCTATTTGTTAATTGAAAATTTTATAAAGCCTCTTTTAAGAATAAATTATTTAAATAATTTTTTGAATTTTTTGTTAAAATATGAGGTAAAAAACTAATATATTTGAGATAATTTTTTTGCTTTTTTACCAAAAAAAAAAATACAAAAAATAGAGAGAAAGAAATTTTTTTAATTTTTTTAATAACTTGTTAACTTTTATATTATTTTCCCAAACAAGCCGGGTAGAAGATTAAAAATAATTAAAAATACATGTGGGTGTACCTTTTTTTGTGTAAAAAAACACAACAGAAGTTGTGCCATTGACCTTTTGGTAAATAATTTTCTCACTTTTTACTATCTTGTAATTTCTCCAAAACAAAAATACAATATAAACAATCTAGTTTCATTTTCAAATTTTATTTTATCGATGCAATAATGTTATTTATTCAAATTTTTATCCAAAATTTTAAACAAAAATATGAATGTATAACCCATATTCATTTCAGGGGAAATTGCATATTAGCTTGTTTGACCAAAAATATTTACAAAATTATAGGAGTGTAACTCTTTTCGGTGCTACACATTTTTATAAACTAGTAGGTGGCACGCACGATGTGTGTGCAATTTAAATAAGTAGGAATAAAAAAATATAATAATGAAATTAATATTATAATGTGTACTTAGCTTAAGTGGTATGAGTCTTCGTACTTAAACCCATGGTCATAGGTTCAAGCCCTACCCATCATCTCTTTGTTTAACTATTTTTTAAAAAATAAAAAATACTGTCACATGGCATGAGGTGAGTAAAGTTTCAGGACACCATAAGAGGTGTTCACTTTATAATAGATAGATAGATATTTTCCTTGCAACCCACTTATAGGAAATTATACCAAAGGGATGTACCATATGCACTCTTAATTATCTTATTTTTTTTTAATTATGACTAATTTTCTTTTTTAGTGATGATATTATTTTAATTATAACTCATGAAATATTTGATTATGACTCATATGATATGTAGTTATGACTTTTTTTTTTCTTTTTTTAATTTTATAGAGTTATAACTCAAAAAATATAAAATTATATCTTTTTTTTTAGTTATAAAATATATATAGTGCACACTTTTTAAAAATTGTCTTTCCTCCCACTTAATAGTAGTTTCCACTTTTATTTTAAGCATGAACTCGTATTATACCAATTCGATTTTAAGTCTGATTTTGGTGAAGTTAACAAAGTTAGTACTTTTTTTTTTAATTAGGATTAGTTTGAAAATAGATTATTTTAATGATTTTTTAATTTTTTTTAGCTAAAATATGAGGTGAAGAAAAATTCAGACAGTCACATTGACATTGTGTCAATGTAAATTAATTACAAATTAATAAAAAAAATTAAAATTAAAATTATTATTTTTTATAATATATTTCACGTTTTTGTAATTACTTTTTTCTGACCCTACTATCAGGTTATTTCTTCCAAAAAAATTAGTATGTTTCGGATTTTTTTGACTTTTTATGAAAAAACATACAAAAATTAAAGAGAAAAGAGGGTTGTTTGGTTTGTTTTTCAAAAACAAATTTTGAAGAAAATTTTTCAAAATTTTGTTTGGTTTAGTGATTTTAGAAAAAAAATTCTAAAATTATTTTTTCTCCCACACATCAATCAATCACTTTTTTTCTCACACGCATCTACTCAATTACAATAAAACATCAAATCATCCCAAACTCCCATACTCCAAAACTATTTTCAAAATATACAACCAAACTCCCATACTCCCACTGGTTTGGCAAGTGGGTTTGGATAGGTTTGGGGCTATTTTAGCCATAAAAGACAAAACAGGCTATTTTAGCCACAACAAATAAAACATCACACAGCAATGCTAGGTATCATGAAAAGTCTTTCATAAAAATAATCATGAAAGATTTGTGACCGTTGGATTACACTTACAATAAAGCACCACACATTAATCAAGATAATCTAAGGGTCACAAATTTTTCATGGTCATTTTCATGAAAAAAATTTCATGATCCCTAACATTTCTCAACATCACATCCAACACATAATCACTACACTCTTCTCTTACAAAAAAACTAAAAAAGTCAAAAAGCTAAAAAGTCCTTCCCAAACCAAGCTTTTTAGCCCAGGTTAAAATAGCCAAAAAAGTCAAAACTTCCCAAACGACAAACTAAAAAAATTTCTAAACTCTCTCCAAAATCTTTTTTGAAAATTTATCTCTCAAAACCAAACAAACACACCCGAGATCTTTGAATAAAGTTTGGGATGATTGTTTAAATAGCAACAAAAAAAAACAAAAAGTTTCACAAAAACTAATAATAATTGTTTTTAACAATTACTAAACACATCAGTTTTTCAAGATTAAAAAATCAATTTTAAAAAAATTAAATGAAAAAAAAAAACTTCAAAATAAATTGCCAAACTTAGCCAGCCACATTTTAAAATTTTGTGTAAAATTTTTCAACAGTGTTGCATTCACAATTTTTTCTTTACAAATCCCTCTCGAATGACATGACAAGGGCCCTGTTTGGTATAATTGTTAAAATATATTATATATTATAACTTATTAGATTATAGATTATGACTTTAATCAGAAACTGTTAATCTGTTTGGTGTAGTTGTTGGATTATATATTTAAATTGATGAGTAGTATTTGTTAAATAAGCTGTGAAGTAACTTTTTCAATTAACTTTTATTTTTTGTTAATCACTACTTGTCTACATTTCTCATAAAAAATAATAATAATAATCTATAGTCCAATTGAGTCTTTTTCTATTTTTTTTTTAAAATAAAAAATAAAAAAGTCTGAGAGTATAACCGTAAATTAACATGTCCACAGCAGAAACTGATAATCAGTGCAAGGGGTGAGCAGCTTTTCAGAATCAGTTTTTTTGAGTTAAAATAAGTTGTTAGAATTAAAAACTGTTTGAAATAAGTTTAACCAAATAGTCCAAATAACTTTTCCAAAGCTCGAAGTTATAAGTTGGCTAAAAAAAAGCCCAAACAAACGCCCTCAAGGTTGGCTAGAAGATTTTGAAAGAAGAGAAGAGTGTAGAAGAATGGGTCATTATTTGTTTTTTTCTTACCATGTCATTTGGGGGATTTATAAGGGAAAAATTGTATGGACAAACTATTTAAAAAAAAAAAAAATTGTCACTTTTTATTAGGGACTAGAATTATTACTGTTTGGGTGTTTAGGAAGATGGTTCTTGGCTAAGATATACAATAAATATAAAATAAACTAAAATAACCAATAAGATAAAATGTCATATTTAAACTATAATTATTTCACATTTTCTCTCACAACCATCAAATCAACTACTGTAACAGTTGACCTTGGTGGACCACTCAAGTAGTCATTTGGTCACTCGAGCGAAGATTCATAGCTTTCAATAGATTACTACTTTGCAGGCTAAACTGCTCGAGCGGTGAAGTGGTCGCTCAAGCACAGATTTCATACTCCCAGTATTTTCACTATAATTCTGCAAAACTTCTGGGACCTCGTGTTTACCACTCAAGTGGTGAAAGGATCGCTCGAGCGGTCTCTTTGAAATTGTGTTGGTCGTTTGAAAAAAGGAGTGTTCGCTCAAGCAGTCTATCGGGGCAGTTGACTTAAAAAGTCGACTGTTACTCATTTTCTTTCACTTTTACATATCCTCTCTCTCTCAAACACTATCTTTTGGAAATATTATTGGGTGTTCACGAGCCCGCCATTTCTGGAGTCAACAAATGTGGAAAAACATGGTTTTGCCATGTTCTCATCGTTTCCAGAGTCGCCAAATGTAGAAGGGAAAAAGGTTTTTGGGTGCCTATCGCCCCTCCATTTTTGGAGTCGGCAAATGTGAGACTATTTTCAGCATACAAAATCTATGTCTATGTATGTATTTTGAATTACGACTCTTACTTGGAAAGTCATAGTATATTTATCGGCCCCTGTAAAATCAGGAAATGCTAATTTAACATTAACATTGCTCATTTCATACTCATGCATGAAGGTATTTATATGCATACATAATAAAATTTACCAAATGTTTGCATTGCATGATCATGTGTTTTTTAAATAATGTTATAATCCGTTAAATACATTACCTACTGAGTTTTTGCTTACCCCAACACTAACCAAATTTCAAGAAATGAAGACGAAGAGTCCCTCCTAAGTGACTGCTTTGAGAAAAAGAGAAGCCTTGGAATGTGAAAGCGTTTGTTTGAAAGTATGTTACGTATATGGTAGTTTTGGCGATTATATGTTGATGTGTTTTTTTTTTTTTTTTTTTTTTTTTTTTTTTTTTTTTTTTTTTTTGTGTAACAAGGGACAAATTCGAGGGAAAGTTCACTTGTAACTGATTTGGTTGTATCATTTCTTACTTGTTGAACTCTTTTATTTTGTTTATGAATGAAATGAGACAATGTTGTAAAGCTTGGAAATAGTTAAAAAGGGAAGGAACATTGTTAACGTTATTTCATTACTATTTAGTCTCGTTCTCGTTGTTGATTGTATATTAGAAATCCAGATAAACGGGATCAAGGAGGTTCATTGTCAGGGCGTTACAACTACAAAAAAGATATATCATCCCAAACACACCTTTTTTAGCCAGGTTAAAATAACAAAAAAATTAAAAAGTCAACTAAAATTAAATTTCCAAACCAACCCACAATAAAAAGTTTTAGAATTTGAAACAACATTTATTTTATATTTAAAAAGTTTCACATCAATAAATTCAAATTTATATTTTATTAATTTTTATAATATTACTTTTTAAACAAGTTAAATGAGACTGAAACATTGTTCCACACCTATTATTAAAGCTCGTTTGGAAACATGATTTATAAGTTACTTATTGACTTATTAACTTATTTGGGTCATATCATTTGATAGTCATAAACTAATCTTCCCAGACTCTATTAAAGTAGTATAGATAATGAGTATGGGTATCGTATCCACAAAAACTATTGTATATTTAAAAACTAGTGTAAATATTAATTTCTCAATTAGTTTAGTTAATAATTGATGGTTTCTTTTCAAAAGTAATTATGAAACCCTAATTGAAATAACAATAAAATGATAATGAATTAATTGGGATTGGGAACTTAGGGGTTTGAATCCACCACTAATTTAATACCGGGAATTGCAATCTATGAAGCACACAAATGCTTGATTGGAACAAGCCAATTCCTCAACTATAAGTCAAGAATTAGGGAGAGAGATAAAGTTGTGTTCGAAGCACTAGTACGCCCTATCTCAACCAACACAAATTGTCCACTTTAAACTAGGGTCCGTGGCACAATCTGTTTAGTCATAGCATAGCCCATTTCAAGTTTCGAATACAACAACATTTTTTTAAGTAATAAGGAAAGTTAAACAACAACACAGATTAGGAAAGGAGAGGGTTAATCCCTTCCATACACAATTCCAACCATATTAGTCACTAGAATGGGCCTTAGCAAAATAAGGAGGTCTTTATAGATCTTCAAGTCTTCCATCTGGTTTTCTCGCATGTGAGCAAGGACATTTACACACTGATTGGCTTCTCAAAAAATGTGCTTACTACAACATTTTCTTAGTTTAGTGACATTTGAAAATGTCACAAAACTATTCTTCTAATGACAATTTTTAGTCTTGTGGCATTTTGAACAAGTGCCATTTATACCCATGCCACGGTAGATATTAGTGCCACGATAGATACTTGCAAGTGCTACTACACTATCATGGTTAAAAACTTTCAATGACATTTTGATGTCATGATAGATATTATTTGTTACACTATCAAGCGCCATTAAAAAAAGACTTAGTGGCACTTCAGTAACACTTGTAAGTACCATTACACCATCATGGCTAAAAACTTTCAGTGACACTTTAATGTCATGGTAGACACTATTCGTGACACTATCAAGTGCCATTAAAGAAGACTTGCAATCTAAAAAATGCCACGATGTGGATTTTTAATGACACTTGTTATGCCACAATTGATATTTATAACTTCATAAATGTCACAAAATCCAATTCATTTGTGCCATTAAACGGATATAAGTGCCATTGGAACTTATTTTAGTGACACTTTACAAAGCTACTATCACTACTACAAAATGCCATTTATATGTTCTTTTTATTGATACTTTTAAACGCTATAACTAAGCATGAGTAAATGCTTGTAAAAATTGAATCAGTTTTATAAACAAATGAATATTAATTGCCACATCTTATATTAATTTGACATTCATTCATCCTGTAATATTTTCATAATAATAAAAAAATATTACCATCATAGGATCATCACATCAAAATAAAAAAAAAAACTCAAACCACAATTAATTATTTATTATTAAAATATAAATTTATTTATATTGCAATAAAAATCCCTTACCAAAATTATAAAATATTCTACCACTAACAAAGTTAAAGCAAAAAAAATTTAAAAGAAAATTATTCTAATCATAAGTTCTAAAAAACCATAGTGATATCCATCTTCCGAAGAGATAAATTATCAAAATAAAATCATTTCCCAAATTCTCAACCTCACTTGTATAAATATTCTCGTCTAGCATCCATAACTTGCAAAATCTGCATCCAAAAGATAAGCATATAAAGGTAATTGAAACTATATTAAGTTAATATAAATTTGTTAATGAAATTAGTATTTACGAAAGAAATATACCACAAATGGAGCAAACCAAGCAACATGAACTCTAATAACTTGTCCAACTGTTTTAACAAGTCCATATGATCGGATCAAGCTCTCATTAGGTTTGACTGGCACTTGAACATGCACCTCCCAATAGTCGAGTCCTAGTTCTTCCCCTTCTACTTCTTCAGATGCGTCTGTGCTTTTAAGTACTCCGATTGCAACTGTTTCTATTAGCCTAATGATACTTTTTAGAACAACTATATCTCCCACCTGTTATATATTTAAAATTAATAAAAAATATTTAAAAAATAAACTAGTACAAAGTGTCAGAGTGAAGATGATCACAACTGAAAGTGATATGCATTTCTCTAGTAAATAAGCAAGCCAAATGATTTAATCACTTAATTGGTTTACCACACCACAACAAATTATATAAAAGGAACAAATGTAAGCCTTTAGACCATATTAAACAATAGCTTAAAAAATCAATAACAATCAAAGGCACCAATCAACAATAATCAAAACCATGCCAATTATCAATATCAGGATCTCCTAACCTCAACGATATAAATCAAATGTAATTGTGAAAAATGACAACCAACTTATTACTTTCAAGCAATATTTTGAGAGAATCAGAAAGAGCTCATGCAGTAATAAATGATTGAGAAATATCTTGTTGAAGCTTCACAAGAAAATAAAAATAAAAAATAAAAAAAAAGCACAAGTTTCGTTATGTCATGATTTTTACTATGTAGCACATATTATCCAGATTTAAACAATGGAATTTAGGTCCACAATATTCGTTCCTTGGTTAATTGTAAGACAAGTTTTGCATGCTATTCTAAAATAAAGCTGGAAGTAATGTGATATATATGATTAGCTCTTAGTGGGTACCTGAGTAAGAGAGGCATCTTGTATCGATGACAATGACCATACTTGATGTTGAGCTGCCATGTCAAGAGGACTAGAACTTGTTGTCACCTAACCAAATTTGAATTAATTAATTTTACAAACACACACACATAGATATATGTGTAGGAAAACATTAATAACTTATAAATTCTATTTAAAAATTTACCTGGTTAGATGTGTTTGTCAAGTTATTCAGAGCATACTCAATATGGGAAACTTTGGACCTTAGCTCCGAATTTTCAGCTTCTATAGCATCCATTGTTGTGTCTTGGTTTGCTTTCTTAGTGCATGACTATAAGGCAACTCGTGTCAAGGGAAAACATGTAAAAGAATTTGTGCAGAAATATGTGAAAGACAGAAAGAGTATTATTGCGAGCATCAAGTTGAACCGAGTGAAAGCATTGTCTAACCCTTATAAATCAACTTTGGCAATTTTATGCCCTGGTGCCAAGGCATTTTAGTTCAAGGACAATCCAATTTAAATCAATGCCAATTCCATCAGTTCTCTAGCATGTCCTTCTACTCTAAAATAAATAAATTGTCAGATGCTTAATTATATCACCAAAAAGTAAGTATGCTAGCTAGAAGTGATTCACTGTCTTCTGTAGAAGAGATGTGAAGTTTACTGCACTAGTTCCTTCAACTCATGTATACTTCTCCATAATACGACTTTTACAAAATTTTAGCATAACAACTTGCTGCATGTAATGGTTAATCTTATGGAAATGATAAAAATGCTTTTTTTTTTTTGAAAGATGAGTAAAAGAGAATAAACTTAGACTGCTGATCCAAAAGTTAGAGATTTCCAGTTTCATTGTTTCATATCTTCTTACCCCTGATACACAGGTATCAAATTAATTGAATTTAACCTAATAGAATTGAAAAGGATTGTGAATCTTTGATAGCCACTATATCAAGCAATACCCTCGTTTTAGAATCCCAATATCACATGCTATAATCCCATCCAACTAGTGATTATCTAAAACATTACCTTTCGTAAACAAAATAATAATAAAAAAATATTATGCATTTACTGATTAATATTATTTATCTCGATCCATAGGCCAAAAATAGAACAACTTTGCAATTTTAAGATAGTTCATTGGATAGCAATTTAACAAATTGTTATGGGAAAAAGTTCTTGGAACATTCATTTTTAAATGCTTTGCTAGCCATACCTGTTTGGGTTTCTTAGAGGACTTAAAGGTCTGACATGTGGAATGGCATCAAATTAAAAGATGCCCTTCGACCATATAATATTCTACCTTGCTTCAATCAATTTAATGTAACTACACAAGCCTTTTGAGGTGAAAATTAAGAAAAAGCATTCACATATGCAGGGGTGAGGAAACTACAAAGAATACCATCTCAACGAGTATATAAACCATCTCAATCCATTTGTCAATATCACCAATCTCAATGAAGCATTTAATGAAACACCTAGAAGGCATATATCAATAACAACTATTTGTAAGTTACGATTGACAAAAACAACTAAACTTGATTTTGCAAGAACTATAAGGTACTAACAACAATGTAGAACATAACATATTCAATATGTTGGTGCATAACTATAAGGCAACTCATGTCAAGGGAAAACACATGAAAGAATTTAAGTATTACACAGTTAATGCAATATCATTATTTTAATAGCAATTCAAATGGTGGTGGAGATTTAGGAATGTGGAGAAAGCATTGTACAAAACTGGTGTTATGTATGAATCATTGTGGTGTAGTTTGAAAGGGGCACAATATTTATTAAAAAAAAAAAAAAAGTTTAGTTCAACTATTTATGATTATGTCCAAATATTATATTTTTTGGAACTTTTTTTGTGGTGTACTTACATTTTGATTTCAAGTTGAGGACCAAATTTTTTTTTTTCTATATATGTAAAGTATTAAATGACTCTTTTTTTTCTCTAGTGATTACCTTAATGGGGCTGGGTTCAAAGACTTTATCAAACCCTCCCCTGTTCCACCCACAGCCTTTACCATAGTTCTTATTTAGAATCACTTTTGATTCCACTTTTGACCATATGGTTCAAAATGGTTCCCTCTAAAAGTAGTTGTGTTTACTATTAGAAATATTTTTCTTTTTACTTATTATCAGAAAGGGGACTCCCCCTGAAATTTACTGTTACAGGTTTTAGCATTTGCTGCTGGAACTACCTGGAGGGATGACAGTAAAATGGGACAGATATGTTTGTGTTCCGATTTTTGTAGCCCTTTTGAACATGGTATGTTATGTAATTTGACATTTTTTCTGTGTATTTTATTTTGTTGACTCTTAATATAATGTCTACACTTGAGAAAATGAGTTCAGATTCTTATTGTGTGTATATGATTTCACATTACAGATTTAATAAGGTATCCCTGGTCTTATCTAAAGATTCATGGCATGTAGTATATAGTCTTCAATGTTATGTGGACCTATAAATCTACATGCTATGAAAACAAACACTAATCAACATTCTTTCCACCAACGTAGATGCAACATTAGGCAATGCTTGGTATTCAATGTAAAGAAGAAGATAATAGCCACGAAAAGGATTGGAAGAGATCAATATTGAAATCAAGCAACAAAATTATAATAAACATAATTGACTTGCAGGATATTTTACAATTATAACAAGCAGTATTCCTCACATGGAAACAAATGAAAACAGACAGTAATCAATTGTTTTGAGAATAAATCTGGGCCCACCGATTCTTGGACTTGCGATAAATTCGGGCCCACTAATCTTGGGCTATTGGGCCTAAATAATTTAGTGGGCTCAAATTAGCTCCTCTTACAGGAATCACTAACTTTGGAATCAATATAATTGGATTATAAATCAACTATTTTGAGACTACCATTTTAGGTATTAAAAAAGCAAAGAAGGGATAGGGTATAATATAATCAATTTTCCATAACAGTATCGGGACTTTTAGAAATACCATGATTACTAGTATTAAAAAAAACACACACACATAAATAGGACTTTAGAATTTTTCTTCAAGTAATGATGTGAAAAGAGATTAGTATTTTTTTGTCATCTTATTCATGCTTACAAACAGAAAAAGGGTTTATTTTTTAAAAAAAAAAAAAACAAAATAATATAAAATCTCACTGAAGCATTTGAACAAACACTTGCAAGGCATTATATAAAATCACAACATAAATACAATAATGATAAATCATGAGATTTTTAATACCGTGGTGCAAGATGTCGTGAACCTCTGCCATGGTTTCTCAAAAATCTTTTTTCGCTTTGTTCGTCGGGCTTTGAATAATGTGGCTCACACAGTGGCTAAGAGATCCTGCCGTGGGGAGACAATCCAGTGGGCGGGTCCTATCCATATCCCCCTGTTTGGTTGGTCCATCCTCTTCAAGTGGATGGCGGCCCTATTCACTATTGATGTTTATCTTTAGTTCCTTTTTCTTTTTTTTTGAAGGTTTTATTTCAAAAAATAATAATAAAAAAAAATTTATTGAGATTAACTCATCAAGTTGAGCAAATTTATTATTTTGCCTCTAAAAGAATGACATATGTTACTTATATATATATATATATATATATATATTTATCAATAAAAAATGCTAACAATTAGGGTTAATTACATTATTAGTCCCTCTATTTTGGCTATTATGTCATTTTAGATTTTGTAATTTTAATTGAATCGATTTTAATCTTGAATTTTTTGTTTTATCTCAAATTAGTCCAATTGATAGCATTTTTTTTATATGACAAATGCAACGTGTCATCGTTGTAGGAGTAAAACAAAATACTTGGTCAATTCAGTGACTTAACTTTAACCAATCCAATAAACATTTTCTATCAAAGACCCTAAAGATGTTATCAATTCGACTAAAGTAACGTAAAATCTAAAATTAAGTGTCAAAATTGAGTCAATTGAAATTATATGGAACAACAAAATGTAAGGATTATTGATGTAATTTACTCAACAATTATAAGCAATTGAAATAAATTGAGATAAATTCGTAAATTCAGAGTCAAAATTGAGTTAATTAAAACTACAAGGACTATTCAAGAAACTTTATCATTGTGCAGGAGAGCAATTTGAAATTTTATTTTTCCTGTTAAGTCATATAAAGCCGTTGATTAATTTTGTACATGTGACAAGTATAGTTAAAATAACATGTCATATTGAGTTTAATTTATTTATTTATATTTATTTTGTGCATTTTAAAAAATTTGAAAATATATTGGCATTTTTTGTTTTTTCAAAAAAGTCATTAGATAGCTTGGAAAGTTTTTGGCTTAGTGGTATTTCTCAAAATGCTATAAAATATTTGTTTATGACACTTTTCACCTAATGTCATAAAAGTAACTAGCGCCTACCTAGTTTAGTGACATTTTTTAAAAAGGCCATTGCTACTAAAGTTTAGTGGCATCTGTTGATAAATGTCACTAAAATAATTTCTTGTGTCATTCTTTTATAAAATACCATAAAATTGATGTGACATTTCTTTATTGAAATGTCACTAGAGCCTTATACGTTTGTGGTTCTATGGCATTTTTCTAAAACGTGTCACTAAAAATTATTTTTGTGGCATTTTCTAAAAACATGCCACTAGTGTAGTGCCACTAAAGTGTGTTTTTGTTGTAATGTTGTGACATTTGTTTATTAAAATGTCACTAGAGCTATTTATGTTTTTCGTTTTGTGACGTTTTTAAAAAACGTGCCACTAAATATTATTTTTATGGCATTTTCTAAAAAGATGCCACTAGTATAGTGTCACTAAAGTGTGTTTTTGTTGTAGTGAGTCCATTTGGGAGATAAGGAATTGGATGTCTTCCACAAGAGCACCGTAAGGGCAGTTTAGGTGAGCCCCTTCATTAATGAGTTTGACAACATCTTGGCAGTATGTTTCAATCACCACATTTCTCCAACCTTTTTCATGAATAATGGTTGTTCTGTGGATAGCCCACATTTCTGCTTCAAGAGTTGTTGCTATATCCAACTTTCCAGAGTATCCAAGAACTTTTTGCATCTCTAAAGAGTCTTCGAAAACTAGCTTTTCCCCAACTTTCCTTGGCACATCCATCATCATTTAGCTTGATATCAGAGCTTAGGGGGCATTGAAAGGCCTCATGGATCTTTTGAGTATATTAGAACACTAGGCGCAATATGTTATTAATGTTAACATCACAATCATCAAAAATAGTTTTATTCCTACCTTTCCAAATGAACCAAAGGGTGACAGTGAACCATATATTCTAGTTGATAGTTGTAAGTTTAGTTTTATCACGAAGATTAAAAGAAATTCAAACATCCAGAGGCTTTCAATGCCATCCCTACTCCACTAATCATTTTTCAAATTTTTCCATGTAACACCGCAAAAATGCAAATCATAATTATCTGGATTACCCATGTGTTAATTGCAAATTATATGATTTAATTTGTGTATATCTATCCAAATTGGGAAATTATCCGTTGATAATACGACTTTGAAACTAAAATTGATGGCCGAAATGGGTTCAGAAACTGAAATGGAGTACATGGATATGTTAATTGGAATTTGTAGATAATCTGGGAAGTTTAATTAAAAATTGATTTCTTCTGATTCGTAAAGTCATGTTTGGCTCTTATTACTTGTATTGAGTTTAGAGATGGATAACTAGAGCCTAATTGACATTAGTGGAATTGAATTTAATGTAATTGAGATCATAATATGTTGAGAATTAATTTGATTAAAGTGAATTTGTTATAATTTAATTCAAGTAATTAATTAGCCAAAAATGTACTTAAGTATATAGAATATGACTTGTTTTTCTACTCACCCATTTAATAAGAAATATGAGAGGTAGTGGGCATTGTTGAGCCACACGTAGAGAGAGAGAGAGAGAGAGAGAGACTTCCAGGGAGGGAATTCAAGAAAGAGAAGAGGAGAAAGAAAAGAATTAAGGGAAATTAGGCTTGCTATTCACAAATTAACGCTCTAAGGTAACAATTCTCTTCTAATTTCTTGAAATTGAGATGTTACACTCATGAATTTATGGAATTTAAGTTTAATTAAGAAGGAATCAAGCCTAATTGTTGTTTTTATGGAGTAAAATGAAGTAGAATATACGAATGAACAAGATAAGGAAGAAATTGCAAGGATTGAGCTCATATTATGTACATGCATGGTAGATTTGAAGAATTTAGTTCAATATTTTGACATGCATGTTTCATTTTATGAAATTCTTGTTTAACCACTTATTTTCTTACATGATTTTTATGGCTCCTAAGGATTTCAAAAGAATTTCCTCATGGATTTTTAAGTTGAAGCTTCTAACTATATATTTTATGTTTTCACAATTTGATTGAAGTTTTGAGCCTTCAATTGGCAAATTGGGTTTGTTTTTGAAGTTGGAAATTCATGTCCGTATTTTTAAGTTTTCTTGCATGTCTTAAAGAATTTTCCATGAAATATGAATTTGGAACTCAAACAATATATGTTCTATGATTTTATACTTTAATTAAAGTTTGTGCTCTTTTAACTGAAAATTTGGGTTTCTTTTGTAATCATGATTTCTATTTGAAGTTGGGAATTCATGATTTTTATACTTGAATATGCTTGAGTCCAAGAAATTTGATCATCTCATGGACAAATTAGTTTCATACAAATGATCTTTTACTTGGTCTCTCATAATTTCAAAGAAATTCTCATTTAAAAGCTTAAATTGAAGCTTGAACATACATTTTATGATTTATAATTGCTTTACATATTTTTGGTTATAAATTGAACAATTGAATTTGGTCATAAACTTATGGGTTGTGAAAAATCTAGAAATCCCCTAGATGTTGATTGTGATTATATATCAATTTTAAGCAGTATATAACAATCCCAATCAAACAATCAAGACAAATCGACACGACGATTTTACGTGAAAAAATCACAATTGGACACCTCCAATTGTGATAAAAAAAACCACGGGCAACAGCCACAAAACAATCCACTAAGAAGATATAAAGGAATTACACAGGTATACTCTCAATTACCTAGCAAATCCACACCCGAATTGAACCAACTCCTATGTGCCTCTTCCAACCCCGTCTTCACCTCGGAATTGTCTTGACGATGAGCCACTCCAGAATCCACCAAAGCTTCAGCCTCGTATTCTTCAGAATCCACCGAAGAACAACTCTCTCTTTTGTATAGAATTAAACAAACAATCCTTTGATGTAAACTTCTAAAACCATGAGTTGAATACTCAATCAAAACATCAAAGAAAACTAGCAAAATATCTCCAGAGATAAACCTTAATATCCAAAAAGAAAATCTGGAGAAGTAATCTTAGATTTGGACTGAAACACGTATTTATAGAAAACTGTCCCGCGATCTCCGCTCGAGCATCAGATTGGCCGCTCGAGCGGACCTAAGCTCGAGCGCAGAAAGTTCCGCTCGAGTGGAAAAAAACAACATCCAGTATTTTGCAGGTGAATAAACTTCTGGAACTTAACATTCTCCGCTCGAGCGAACCGGCAACTTGGAATGCATTTTTGCATTTTACTTTGGGGGCGCTACCCCTGGACCCCGCCGTGGCGCTGCCCCGAACCCGCCAAGGGGTGCTGCCCCCTGGTCCCCCGCGAGCTGACCGGGCAGCTCGACCCCCGTCACAATCAGCGAAGTGGCAATCTTGAAAGAATTTACATCACAAACTGCTCTACAAAGCACGATTCGGGTTGGATTCGCATCTAACAACTCATATCCTCACTGAAATAAAAATACGAATAAAATTACAACACAAAGGAGTTTTGTCAAACGGGATTGCCAAGAATAAAACCTAATAGGTTTTATTTGATGATTGAAAATTAAAGTTCAAGCTTACTTTTGTGGATTTTGGGATTGAATTATACAAAAAAGAATGAAAGTTAGAACTGAATGACAGAAACTGAATAGAAATCAAGTAATCGAATTGAATAGAATTGTAAAAGTATGAATGTAATTGAATTGTTGTGCTTAAATTTATTTGTTTAGGTCGGACGTTGCATCGTAGTGCAACTTTAGCACGTATTTTGAGGAGCCCACTGTGAGTAACACTGTTGTAAAGCTATGTTCCCTTACAATTATTTTGTGATTGATAAAAATGTATTGGTTTACTGAAATGATAATGTTTATTGATGAATGATTGTCTTATTTTGCGGAACTGTACTCGTGACATCCATAGCATATTGTTATTGCTATTGTTATTGTTATTGTTATTGTTACAGAGATCTCTATTAATTCCAATTCTTGGAACTATTGTTATTGTATTGATGGCCATCAAGTGATCGTTCGGTCTTTAAGACCTATTGATTGTTCTGCTATGAGATGTACCACATATGACTATTATGAATCAAAATGATTGATATGATATGAAACATTGATTGAGAAATTGACTATTTCAATTATTGT